ACTGATTTTTTATTCAACTCTTAAATATAAATATTTTAAAATGAAACAATAATATACAGTTATTATATTAAATTATATTATTTGAAATTTCAATGATTTTCTTAAGTTTAATGTTTGGTGCCTAGCTTAATAAACTATTTTAATAGATCAAAGTAAAATATTAGTAGGTATATTGTTAAATACTTAAATGCATGAAAATAATTGTTGATGGTTTACGTTAGTACGTTACTTGATAGTTTTGTTTTTACTATTAATAAAACTATATAATTAGTTATAAATTATATTATTTATCATATTTTGTTTTTTTTGTTTAAAAATAAATCTGCATCACCACAGGATACCACTTAGGTAAACAGTAGGTATAGGAAAATCAAATAATTTGAAAATATATAGCCTTAAGGCTTAAGGTATACTTGAAAATTAAAAAATCGGAATTAAAATAAGTTAATATTTTGAAAAAAAATTATTGACGATCGTGCTAGGTGAATTAATAACGTTACATATTTTATATGTATATACTGTATATTTATGTGTATTGTGTATATATTTTTTGAAATAATTGGTCATCTAAATATCTTTTTAAGAATACATTTTTGTAGATATAGAAGAATATTAATATTAGTTTTGTAGTAGGAACAGGTTCACATTATAACGTTATCAGGACAAGTTGTATAGTGTATACCCTTGGGATTGTAATAATTATGTTAGTGAATTATGTTCCCAATTCGTATAAATTGCTTAAGTTCATTTGAGTTCCTTGAGAAATGGTTACATTTAATAAGCTTAATTTGACTCCTTACATAAATCTAATTAATCTCGTACATTATGTACGTATAATTTATTTGTTTTTTTTTTTAAATTTTAAATATTTTTCATAAATTCTAATTAAAAAAAATCATTATTTGTTATGAATTCTTTTAAAATTAGTACATTCTGCGTTGCTGAATTATATATTTATTGATAGTGTGCTCAGTAGTAATAAATGTATGTATATCAAATATGTCTATATGAATTTAGACATATTATTATCTTTTAAAGATTTATATAATAAGATTGACTCCTATAGATACTCATGATTTTCAATAGATTTTTTTTGAAACTAATAATAAGTTTCATTGAAATCATTTTACATATTTTTTACATGGTTAACTTGTTAGTCTTTAAAAAATTAATTGATATATAAAAATTATAAAAGTACGACCTGAACACATTTTTTGATGATAATCAAAATATTACAAAAAAGTAATATGATTTTATTTTTATGTACCTATTACAATTTAATTTGAACTCTTTTTAATGAATAATTTAGACATGGTTTTTGACATATTATTTAAATTTAACTGCAATTTTCCTGATTTTCGTTTGTGTAAGTACTCAAAGGTGATTGGTGTTCTTAAAAGATAAATGTTTTTTTTTGTGCAGAGTATGCTATACGTAAATAATATTTCTTAGGATTGGTGAATGCGGTGGGATACAAAATTATTTTTACATAATCTCAGGTATTTGAAACTTTCTTATTCTTATTGATTATATACTTATAAGTTATAAGTAACGCAGTTATTAAAAAAACAAGCTCGATAATAATATCATCATACAAATCAACAATATTTTTCAAAATACGTCATAAATTCAATTCCCAAATATTTTACAATGTACCTAACTTTAATTAGGTATATAAAAGTATATAGTTATAAGGGACAACTTTTTTTAAACGAATTTCAATACAGTAAAACAAACTATGTATTTATGATAATTTCTAAAACTTTGATCTATGTCCTATATTTATAATATATTGTTGATTTGTTAATATTTTAGCTATTTATTGATATTCTATATGACAAATCGATTACTTGGATTGGATTTTCCGGCTATTAGGTAATGAGGAATAATACTTACAATTGAATTACAAATACATCCTAGAAGTCATTCTATAAAATATTTGTTTTTCAAATTCATGAATTGACATTTATTTGCAATTTGTGATTATTGTCAAATAAGAAGATACCGAGCTTAGCTATTTGTCGCTTGGATCTAACCCAAAAAATAATAAATGATACTTTTGCGCCAAAAATAGCGAAGAGTGCTAGAGAGGTTTATTACGAAATTTACATAAAAAATGAACGTGTCAGGGTGTAACAATATTGTATTCGAAACCTGATCATGTATCCTCTAGATCCTAACTGGCAAGTTATATTCACCCTCCATTATAAAAATGATTATATTAATAAGGACATGACATTATAATTTATAAAGGTGTAGAGATGCTTAAGTTGTTCAGTGGAACCGATGTTTTTGCTTATGAGTTATTAAATCAAAATTTAAAAATATATTTTTGTGAAGTAAAAAATGATCGTAAACATTTAAACACAAAATTATTATTTAAAATATATTGTGACTAATGATGTTCAAGCCGGGAAGAATTGGTGTTATTTTTTGAACCAGGAAATATATATTTAAGTGACTTACATATCATTTTTTAGATTCAAAATGGAGCCACAAATGTGTATGGCTTACATTGAAGTGTTTAAAAAAAAATAATGTTTCACTATGTTAAAAATATAAATATACTAACTGGTTCCGTGCACTTTATTTCCCGTTTAAAATGCCAACTGCAGTGTATGCGATTAATATAATATTAATATAATGTATATTAATATTATAATGTATGGTAACAGACCGCCTTCGCTTATAATCGTTATTCGTATGATTTATATTAAACTCAAACTTAACACATCCATTACAGTGATAGACTCTGGTAAACTCGTCACGTAATATACAGCATAATGAGTTCTTTGAATTTTTTTATTTTAGAAATTAAGGATTCGATTCTAGGAATTGCTTACCAACATTTAAAGTTAAAGTGGACAGAGTGATTACCCTTTAAAATTTGAGCTAAGTGTGTATAATGAATTTTCTGAAAATCCATTTTTAAAACTATTAAATTTAGCAGGTGAGAAAGATGCTAAATCTAAAAATTATTTTTGATTATTTTTTAAAGTCCTTTTCTCCATGATACAATAAGTGTATCTGTTATATTAGGTAATAGGTATTAATATATTATACTATATTATTATATTACTGCATATATTATGATATATTTTCAGAATTTATCAGTTTTAAGATTTTTTCGAATAAAAAGTAGGTACATAATATTGTTGTAGTTGTGTTTATATAATGTGAATATATTGAGATCTTACAAATTCATTTTTTTTTCATAAAATATTAATCAGGTGGTTTACATGAAAACCGGCCCTGGAGAAAGTTGTCGATTTACCGATTTTCCACCAACCCTGGTTTTATGGTTAGCTAATGTTTTAAAGTTATAAGTTAAAAATATACGATTAAGCTTAAAAATTGTTTAAGATTTTAAGATGTTAACATTTTTATATTTTAGAATTTCAAGTATTTTTTAATAAAAATTAATAAGAAAACATTTTACAAAGTTGAAGAAACTTTTAGGATCCATGTATAAGAAAATATATTGTTTCGTTATTAATATTATTTATATTTTTTTACTACATCATTAAAAATATATTACATGTAAATACAATACTTATCTACTTATTTCAACAAACCATGAAAATATCTCTGACATAATTATTTTAATTTCATGCAATAATAACTAAGATTTTGTTAAAAATGGGCGTAGTTTAATTTGTTGTAAACATGAATACGATGCATCTTTTTTTGAATTCCAATAATACAACTACAGACGCGTTTTGTTTGTTGAACGAGCAACACGTATGTTCCATTCACGTGTGTCGAATTTATGTGAAGTGTTTAATAAATATTTCTATACGAAAAATGTTTTCTCTTACAACGTAGGTAAGTTGTAGTCAAGTGTTTAACATAAATTATTTAGGTCTGCGCGCGTCGCTGCTTGGACCGTCATCATTCACGTGAATTATATTTTACGTTATAAGAGAATATTTACAAGTGATGCATGATCACACGATGATCCAACAAAATGATTCAGCTAAACTATTGGGTATTAACCATGATTCCCGCCTGAATCGGAACACCGTATAAAAAAAAAAATGCAAATCAAAGAAAAAATTTGCGAAAAAATTCTAATGGGTAGTTGGAAGACGTTCCACACTAGACCTGGAAAACAAACGGTTTCTATATTATGTATAATATATTGTAGCTATTGTCAAATCGATATGGACTTTTGATATACAATCGTGGGATTGTGCCTGCAAGTCCAACATCAAATTAAATTTCAACTTTATCAAAATATTGATATTTGTCCCAACCAGTGGCGCAGGAACTATTTTTCATAAGGGGGGGCAAAACATGAAAAAAAAACTAACTATTATAATATATTTATTTGTAATTGATAATAGAAAACCTTTCTTAATATTTTGTTCTTTTAACGTTAATATAGGTAGTTTAATATATAGGTATATACATAAATATATGTATATATTTTTTTTTTATTTAAAAGTTTACCAGCTAGTTTAACATAGCAAAAGTTTACCAATATATAAATGTATAAATTTAATGATTAAATTTATACATTTATATATTGAAACAAAACATGAATCATATTTACGTTAGGTAAACCTAAAGTTAAAATAACAGTATCTAAATAAATATAATAAATAAGTTTTAAAAGAAATATATTTACTATATACCTGTAGTTGTATTCAAAAGTAACAATATATTATACAGAAATATAAATAAATTAAATATAAAAAATGTATTTAATTTATACCTTAGTCCTTAAGTTATATTCTAAAGTAACAATATGTCAATATATAAATTATAAATAAATATAAAATTAAAATAATAAATAAATACCTGAAGTTGTATTTAAAAGTAACAATATATTATACAGAAATATAAATAAATGAAATATAAAAAATGTATTTAATTTATACCTTAGTCCTTAAGGTATATTCTAAAGTAACAATATGTCAATATATAAACAAATATAAAATAAAAATAATAAAATAAACTTCACAAAGGTTATTTTTTTAAAAGAATTACCTATAAAATTAATAAAAATTTCCAAATGTTGATTTCCTTTCTGAAGTTCTGGAAACAAATTCTTTGGCAATTAACTTCAAATCAATTTTTGCTGTCATAGACTTATGAACGTGTAAAATCATCGTATGAGTTAATCTCTTTTGGGTCATTGTGGACCTCAGATATGTTTTTAGTCTTCTCAATGCACTAAAAGAACGTTCAGCAGTCGCTGCAGATGCTGGTATTGTTAAAATTAATTTAATAAGCTTGGTGATTTCAGAAAACAAAGAATCTTTTACATTTGAATATTCATTTCTCAAATGATTTATAATATCTGAAATACTAGTGATAGATACTATAGACGGTAACATAATAAGCTGGGCATGGAGTTTATTAATGTCAAAATCCTCACTCATATTATTTAAACAATTAGTAAGTTCTTGGTGAGTTCTTGTGTTTTGATCTACAAGTATGTGTTCTAATTTAACCAAGTTTTTTAGACCTTGTTGATTAAAACGCCTATCAATTTCATTTATCAAATAGTCAATTATTTCAAACATATCTTTCTTCAATTCACATATTGGTGATAATTTTGTAGGAGGGTTACTTGTATATTGAAGTCGTTTTGGTGTTTTTTTTATACGCTTAGTGTCATCAAGTGGTTCTAATTCATATATTTCAGCATTTAAATTCACGGTATTTAATATCTTTTCAAAATATTCATTACTTCTGAATGATAGTAATGTTTTCTTTAATGTATCTGCAGCTTTAATTGAATCTGATGCGCAAAATTTAGGATTTTGTAATACTTTTGCTAATTGTTCTACAGGACCAAAAATATGTATTGCAATAGTTAAAAAAAAAATTGTTTTTAATTTTTTTAATTTTTTCACATATCCTCTAAGTGTGAATTTTCTATCATCTGCTATACAAACACTCCCTGAAAGCATTTCATCTAATGTTTTTTGAACTCTGCTATAGTTATCTAAAAATCTTGATAAACTTTTAACCCTTACAGACCATCTAGTAGGACAAAATGGAAGTAGATTTTGTTTTACACTACCCAATTCAGAGGAATTGTAACATGGCTCTAATACTATATTTTCATAGATACTTTTTCTCTTAGCAGATTCAAGAATAGCATTTGATACATCTCTGACCATAGTGAAGGTATCACACATAGCACTATTTTTTCTTGCAACTTCTTGTAATGCTAAATCCAGTGAATGATTACTACAGTGTACAAAACAACTTTTTGGCTGAACATTTTCAATTAATTTTTTCACCCCATTCAATTTCCCAGACATATTGGCAGCTCCATCAAAACAGTGGCCTCTTAAATTTGATGTAGATAAATTAAATTGTATTAATATGTCTTTTATTGTGTCAAAAAATGTTAATGCTTTACTATCAGGTGTATTACATAAACCAGTAAATACTTCATGTACTTCAAAATTTTAATCAACATAGCGAATGCATAATGAAAACTGTTCTGTAGAAGAAATATCAGTAGTTGAATCAGCAATTATAGAGAAGTATTCTGATTTTTTTTATTGATTGCACAAGTTCACGCTGTAAATTTAATGACATTATTTCTAAAATTTCATTCTGAATATCTGAACTAAGCCAATTATTTTTCTGTTGTATCCAATATCTTAAGCATGGAACATCTACACACCTTTCTTCTAATAAGGAAAGAAAATTGCCATCATTATGAGAATGACCTCTAATACTTATTCCCATCTGACTAAGGTATCGCAAAGTACTAATAATTGTTAATAAGGCTGTGGATGCATTTTTTTGTTCTTCAATTTTTTGTTTTGATAATAAAGAAATTACTGATACATTAGTATTAATACTTAAAAGAAAATGTATAGAGTTGACGTGCATTTTACCGTTTTCATGGGATTGAAATTTTTCAGATGCTTTTTTCCAATTATTAAAACCATTTACTATAAAAGATAATTCTGTGTGTTTATTTAATTTATTATTTGTCTTATGATAAAATGAAACACGATCAAAACAAAATGCACGATCTTTAGATTCATCATAATGAAGCCAGGCAAACATTTCAAACCACTTTGCGCAAAATGATCTTTTTTTGTGTTTTGGAAAAATAAAATTATTTGATGGTTGATTTTTTGTTTCAATTATAGGAAGAATGGGTTGACTACTTTTTTTTGAAATTGAAGATGTTGAGGCGACATTACTGATATTATTTTGTAAATCCTGTTCTATCTCTGACTCCTGAAAAAAAACTTAGAGCTGACTCAGAGAAATAAATGCCCAAACAACACTTAAATGCATGCATTTATTAATATTATACTGTCATTGTTTATTTAAAAAGTTTTTGAAATTTTTTCTTTAACACAAACTAGTCTGTAGACTGTAGTCCGTAGTGCAGTTAGTAGTATGAAACTATGAAATAACAGTCTTAATTATTATACGATTTAAAAATATTTAAAAGTTGTTATTTACTTTTATTTAACTTAAATTTAACCTTATATAAAAAGAATACTCATTGTAAATGAAATATATTCAAAGAAAACAGTAAAATTCCTCTAAGATTTACTCAAAATATAAATTTTATTAGGTAAGTGTAAAATATTTCTTCTTTTTAATTTTGGTTGGAAAATATAAACATTACACAGGAAATTATTTAAATTAAGGCAACTAGATACAAAAACCGGCTTTTAACCATCATTAATTAATAATTAATCATTTTAATAAAATTAAAAAAGCATAATAATCTCGGGTGTGTACAGTTGACATAAATACATAATATATTATAAATACAAGTAGGTAATTATTATTATTAAATTAGCTTAATTAAATCCAGTTTAGTGCCTATAACATATTTTGTTCTACTGTCTACAAATATTAATTAACGACATGAGTTGTTTAAATATATTTGAGTAGGAAATAAAAAAATAATTGGTAGGTATCTAAAAAGTAAAATTATTATTCGTTCAACAAAAATATTGCTTTGTAGAAATCAGTTTGATTTAGGTATATTGATATATCACTATATCAGTAATATTTATATTTATAACAATTTATTTTACTAGACAGATTAATAATTACAACAAATAAAACAAATTTATTTGAAAGTATGTCTTAAACTTACCTCGTTAGGTATAAGCTCCTGAATTTTCACAGGTGTTTTCAATTTGAAAAAGTCTCTAATATTTTTTTTGGGATTGGGAACAGCCATCGCAGGTACCGGTACGTGTAACGTGTTATTCTATAACATTGTTTATTATAATTAATCGTTACTATGTTGCTCGTATTTCCAAAGATATCGTGTTTTTTTAGAGTCAAATCAATATAATTCACGAACCATTAGAGATATGAAAAAATGTAATAAATAAAAGTTATAGCAAATTTAATTTACTTTAAAATATGTAATATTAAAAATATCGATATTTCTAAAGGTTAACGAAATATTTATGAAAATGTTAAAAATTTTCGTAAATATTGAAAAATGTAGTAAGTTCAAACTTAAATCACAAGTCGGCACGGGTTAACCTTATCTGATCGAACCAAAACTTTTTGTAGTTCGTTTTTGTACATATAGGCACAAAATTAGGGGGTGAGACCAAACATATTTTAAAATCAAAAATTAAGGAACACCCTAATGAATATGAATGTTACTGTAAAGTACTAAAGTGTAAACTGTATTCTGTAGCGACAGGCGACAGTCAACGATCACGACAGCGTACTCATTTAATAGTCGTAATCAGTAATCACTAATCGCCAATCGGAATCTTATCGTAAACGATATAAACAATAAACTGTAAAAACCCAAAAATAGCCTAATGATATTGTATAATAAACAATATTGTAACTATGTTGTGAGAACACTATCCGGGACTGGTGGAACTTCCAATTCCAATTATAAATATTTGATAAAGCACTTCGACCAAAAACGTCTATAAAAATTACTCAATAATATTAATTATTATAACGCACACTCATGAAAATGAGACTTATTTTGAATACGTAAACGTATAAATTAAGCGTAAATTACGATTGTATTTTACCCTTTAATTTTAATGTGGTAGGGGGGGCAAAATTATACTTTTGCCCCCCTTGGATTTTATCCGAGGGGTCAATTGCCCCCTCTTCCCCCCCTTCTCCGGCGCCACTGGTCCCAACGTACCTGTTCTACGGGAATGAAGACATCTATCGACATTTGAAGATATCATCCATCCAGGACGAAATAAAAAAGTTTTTCAACAAGCATAAGGCTAGAGCTGCACACCAACGCATCTGCTACACAATTTCTTGACAACTCGAAAGGCATTAGCTTGGAACCTCAAACGCTAAAAGCCATATGACTTAGTTTAAGTGACTTGGCTTTAAGTGGGCTACATCATTTTGAAGGTACAACCTTAAACATTTTCGTGTACAGTGTAAACATAATATAAATTTGTATATTTATATTTATATAATATAATGTATACATTAATATTATTGAATATATTATAAATTATATATTATGTATCAATTAAGTTGTATACACATTGTGTATTTTATTTACTTTAGTCGTTTATATAAAGATGCCTTAGGTAAAAAAAATAATAAATAACAATAATACAACTGATTTTGTTAAAAACAGGTACCTAAGTAAGATATATTATTTTAATATGGATTTATACTTATTAGGTATAAATACATTGTGTCCCTAAAATATAGGGTAGGTACACTCTATAATTGAGTTCATATATTATACTCTGTACCCTGTACATAATTTTGAATTCTGTTTTCGGGACATGAAACTAGACTATTGGATCATACATTTCTATAACTTACAATTTTTTAAATCTGCTATTTTGTTGCAAGCTCAACAACACAATTTTTTTTGTGTACCCTGTTTTTGTGGACACACGGTATATAAAAAATGAGTTACAATCCATGAGTTTATTGGTTTGTAGTAACAATCAATCTTTGTATTTGATACAAATATGGGGTCACTTTTATTACGAATAATCAATTAAAATGAAATATATTACCAATAAAATATATTTTGTAATAATAGTGGTTCAAATAAATACAAAATATCAAATATAGGTACATATTTTTTAATTATGCAAATCAAAAATTATGATTTTTATTTATTTTAATGTGTTCCTCAATAAATCTGTTTAATAACTTAAAATTACTTTTTGACTTATGGTTTAGTTTTTATATTTGGAAACACACATTTGAGTGTAAAGTTATACGCAGTATATGGTGTCCAAAGTTTAGACAATTTTTTTTGAAGTAAATTATACAGTTGTTAAAATTGAAATTCATTAAAAAATGAAAAACTGGAATATTTACTCAATGTTATAGATATTTGAAGTTCAAATTAGGATGAAATGAGATATTTAGACAAAGAATGATAATTATTACAGTGACCCCTTATTCAATGACAAGGTATTAATACTTGACTTCTACTATAATACAACAGAGCGGTTTCATACTTCCCCTAATGATAATCATTACACGCTTGTAAGAAAATTATTACTTGTGTTACAGTTTTATTACAGTATAAGATAAGATTCTATTCCTGAATCGATGGTGGTGACAGGAATCAAATAATAATTGTATTTAAAAGCGTACATAAAACATACACACCATACAAAATCAATATCATGAACTAATCACGGAGTAAGAATAATATGTTTCACTATAAATATAGAAAAATGTATTGAATAAGAAAAACAAAATATATATAAATTAAAAATATAATATTAATAGCATAATTTGAATATGATAAGAGTGTCTTAGCAAACTTTTATTAAAGTACAAAACAATAAAATGTATAGGTTCGTATATTTAATATTTTCTAACTAGCCAATGACTTGATGTTTTTTGAATAATATATACTTGGTTGCCATTTATTTTACACTAATATAAAAAGAGAAAAACAAGTTTAAAAAAAATATTGGTAAGACTGAGCAAAATCGGGCTAACTTCTTATATTAATGTTGTTCACTTCTGAATATTTTTTTTTACTTCTAGAAATAAAAATTTTTCATAGGAAGAGTTCAATAAATAACTTAATTTTCATTGAAATACACTTTTGAGTAAATAAATACATTTTTTGATAAATAATATTGATTGATGTGGATTATTCAATATTTAATTTAGATACTTTGTTTTATCAAATATTTTATAAATGGTGTACATTTTAGTTTTCCAAACATTATTTTTTGTTCTTTTAGAACATGCTATGTATCAGAAGTATTCAATATAACCGTAAGCTTGTTGAATTTGTATGTAATAATATATTCTACAAAATATTAAAAATTTTTTTTACCTTTTTTGTTGCAGTAAATGTCAATAACATGTGTTTTACATCATATACTCGTAAGTATAATATGGTGTAGATCGTTTATTTTAAAAACGGTTTTTCAAAATATATGAACCCATAATATTTGATATTAACTACCCTTATACCAATACGAACATAATCATCAATATATCACCGTTATGTTTATCGGTAACCTGGATTTCAGGCACTAACTTTTTATATGAAAAAATAAACATTTATTGCAGGATTAAGACTTTTGTACATATTTTAAAATATATTTTTTCATTTATTCCTTTTATAAACTCATAATAAAACTTGTAATAATATAAAAAAAGGTGGGTAAGTGGATGTCGCTCTGCTGTACTGTAGGTTACAAGTGGGTCACTGTATAATGGATGGTATTAAATTTGAATTCAATGATACAATATCATTGTATAAGAAAAACGATTCTGAGCGAAGACGGTATGTCAGTCTAGGTTTAAGACAAATTATATACATATCTATGGTATTAAAAAAATTGACCTATAATAAATTCCAAATTAATCATATCACATTATCACAATATCCATTAGGTACTTATAACACGTTATACATCAAGATCAATTACAAACCCTGATACTATCATTGATATATAATAGTACACTTTAGAAGTTTCAAGTAGGTACCCACGATTAATATTATATAATCACAACAAAATAACTAGGTTTTTTAATATGTAATTTCATCCAAATTTGAACATAAAATGACTATAAAAATAAACTGTGATTGT